TATCCATGTGACTGTCTGGAGAAGCATGACACTGGCGACAAAACAATCTGTCACAAAATATGAAGTCCTCCTCTTGTTAACAGTTGTTCCCGTGAAGATCCGGGTTAGAATTGATGTTCAGTAACCCTTGTTTGTCATAAGAGGTGAATAACGGGATCAGGTGGCCAGGCTTGCAGACTTGGTTGACACGTGTCATCATATCTCAATTGCGTAGATCGATGCTCATGCGATTGATCACTGGATTGTCTGGTCCAGACTCGATTATTTACACACTGCCGCCATACAGCTGGAATATTGCTGAGTGCAGTGTAAAACTAAACCCACTCACTCACTTGTTGATAGTTGATTAAATGACAGGTTCTGTGATGTTCTTGAAAGTTGGACAAACACGAACCCATGACACATTTTATGGATAACAGCAGTGTTTCAGGGCTACAGAGTGAATACATATAGATATTCTTGCTCCATTATCAGGTGGGGGTATGTGAGTCAGTGCACACGAGTGATATATATATAGACAGAACATGTTTCACCAGAACCAACATTAACACGATTTGTTTTAAGGGAGGTCCTTTCCAAAGTGAGATATGCAAGAATGGAACATGTACTAGCATTGCAGTAGTGCAATCATGTTAGTTTGCCAAGACTGCACATGGTAAATTGTCGATTATAACTATTATATACCAAAGAGTGTCATGAGATCACTGGTTATTGCTGTGACAAATTAACACTGTCAACATGTCCGCTCCATACTGTACATCAATCATAACAACAGTATTGTATTCATGAATAATTAGTGATTCAAGTTATCCAATATTGGATAACATATTCGTCTCATAGTGTATTCAGCCCTAAAGGATAACAATATAATCGGCTGAGTCAATGAGAGGATAACATGGATAACATAGTAAGACAAAGTCAATGAGATTAACAGTATAACAATGTGAGACGAACTCAATATAGTACAATAGAATACACAGGGTACATGATTTGGTCTTGGTTAATGGCTGGCTTCTCTTTGGAATTCGATGCTTTTTTGAGGTTTATCCATTTTCCAGTGCTTCATGTTTGTCTTAAGAATCTTTGTTATTACCAGGAAATATGGTGGTTGGGATTTTTTTATGAGATGTTCCGGAAGGTCAGATTTCATGTTAAATTTTTCAACAGAGGTCTTGCGTTGTTTTATTCTGGTGGTTATGGTGTGTGATGTCTCTCCTACATATTTGTCTCCAAAGTTGCTTAATATTTCATGCACACCTCCTCTAGGGTTTGGGGTGGACTGGGTGGGACCTTCTGCGTTGGCATGTAACATAATTTTTAGTCTGAGGAGAAAGTCTGCTGGTCTGGTGACTGGTAGGACCTTGGTATGGCTGTGTGAAGACATGACATATTTTATGGGTAACAACTTCCTTTTATTCTTTATCATGATGAAGATCCGGACTAGAATTGGTCTTCAGTAACCCATGCTTGTCGTAAGTGGCGACTAACGGGATCGGCTGGTCAGGCTCGCTGACTTGGTTGACACATCATTGTATCCCAATTGCGTAGATCGATGCTCATGCTGTTAATCACTGGATTGTCTGGTCCAGACTGGATTCTTTACAGACCGCAACCATGTAGCTGGAATATTGCTGAGTGCGGTTTTGAACAACAAACAAACAGATAAAAGGCATTGTATGTTCTTTACAGAGCTGCTATTTGGATTTGTTTAAGAAACATTTCCTCATAGTCACAGGGCTATTTCCTACTCAAAGTAAAACATTTCCCCACATCCTGCCTTTATAGTTTGCCCAGCTGTCAGCATAAACTGTTATATGTTTTATCATGGGTTAACCTTTCTGTGTCAATCAGAAAATTACCTAATAGGTCAGGCTGAACATCAGACTGCACACTGTTTAAAAGAGGTAAAAGGAGAAATATCTAAAATAAGCATTTTCATAAGTGGGCATATGTTTTCATGCATAACCTGGATGGATAGTTGGGTAGCCAGGTGGTAAATTATGATGATTATACCAAAGGCCTTGCTTTGATTTCCCAGGTAGGTACAATCTGCGATGCCCATTTCTTGTGCCGCTCTACATGATATTGTTGGAATATTGTGAAAACCAGTGTAAAGCACTCTCTGATCTGCTCACTGTGATGTAAAAGGAATAATGTTCAAAGTGGCACTCACTCACTCAACAGTCCCGACCTTGTTGCTGTTTCATCATGTTCAGTGAGACAAGGGAACGAAGCTTCTCAAACAATTGCCTAAAGGACATCTGAAGTTTTTGTAAACTCACTCACTCGCAGCACATAACTCATAAATTTAAGTAGCACATTTAACTTGATAAGAGCTTCCAGGAAGCCAAAGTTTATTAACCAAAGTCTTTGTTTGTCTTTTCTAAACAAGATTTCATAGTGGCTAGTTCCATTCTTGACCAAGCTATCTGGATAATAAATGCTGATGGTGACTTCAGACATCCAGACATCAAGATTTGTGTGTGATAAACAAGACAATCATTATGGTATAGCTGTTTAGACATGTCAGATGTAGACAAACCTGATTTTAGCCTGCTTGACTGCCATCTAGCCTGAGTCACATGGATAATTCTGGATGGTCTCCAATAAATGCTTGGACAGGATTGTGTCAGGTGATGTGTGTCTAGCAGCAGCAAACAGGGATGGTCAGTCATATGTTGATCTTAAAAACTATGATGTCAGACTTTGTGACAGGTGCTTGCTGCTGATAGGTTTGAACAGAATACTGCTGCACATCACAGACTGAGTGATAGGCATAATGGCAGTGTATGAAATAAGTCAAAACCCCAGCCAGACATCTGGGCTGGTAACTTCAAAAAGAGATTTAACCAGTCCTTCTTCAATACTAAACAGACAGTGCCAGTGGACACATTATCTGAATATTGTTTTCACCCGTCCATCGGGCTGGCTAGCTGTAAAATTTGAAATCTATCCTGTCTCGGTCGGTCGGATGGGCCTTATTTCATACACTGATAATGGGACTTGAGCAACACCTTCTTTTAAAAATACCCTACGCAATGTGTTGTTCATAATTTGATTATGAAGGATTATGTATGAAGAGATATATAGGTTTTTCTTAAAGCAAGATATATTATGATATATTTATGTATGTTTTGAGATGCAAGCTAACATATGAAAGTTTGAGTGAGTATGAGTGTGTATGAGTGTCAGTGTCAGTGTGAGTGTGTTAGTTTAGTTTTAAGCCGCTTTTAACTATAAACCAGCATGGGAGGGACACCAGAAATGGGTTTCACACATTGTAACCATGTGGGGAATCAAACCTGGGTCTTCTGTGTAATGAGCAAACGGTATAACCACTAGGCTACCTGTCCGCCCTAAGAAAGTTTGAAAGCAATATTTGATTTCTATTTGATCAGTAGAGGACGTAACCTGTACGCGAGGCGTTCCCCCGTTACACGTACAAGTGACTACCTGAGAGGGGGTCACTCATTCGCGTGACTGCCTGATCACAGACAGGGAAACTCTGCATGTCACACAAAAACGTGTCTAAAAGTGTTGTTTATGAAAATAATTAAACACAATTTGCTACAGTCATTTATAGTTGTTCAAGTTATTGATTGACATGAATGAAAACGTAAAAGGAAAAATTTAAGTAGTCCAATTTTGACAAAAATGTGCAAAATTTAAGCAAAATTCGACAATGTTCAACAGTGAATTTAACCCATGTGCATATTTTTCAGAAACTTACATTTATTATTTTCTGAAAGCTCATTCATCGTGTTTCATAATTATGAAATATGACATTCTTACCGATGATCAGTCTCTACATGACAAATGATTTCTATGGCAAAAAGCCTGTCTCCAATTGAAGTGTGAGTGAGCGAGTGAGTGAGTTTGGTTTTACGCCGCTTTTAGCAATATTTCCGCAATATGACGGCAGGAGACACCAGAAATGGGCTTCACACATTGTACCCTTGTGGGGAATTGAACCCGGGTCTTTGGCGTGACGAGTGATCACTTTAACCACTAGGCTACCCCACCGCCCCTTCTTGAAGTGTGAGGTATGTGCAGTGTTATTGCCATGCTGGCATTGTGTCTGAATCTGTGTACAGATGATGGTGTGTTCAAATTACCTAGTGTCAATGAGACTGAAGAATCAAGTTCATTTACCTTTTTGAAAATACTAGAATTACGTTTCTGCAAATTATGCACTCATTGAATGTCACTGGCAAAACAGGCTAATGTTGCTTATCATCACATCAATTGTGTAGATCAATGCTCATTATGTCAATCACTGGATTGTCTGGTCCAGATTTGATTCTTTACGGACCGCCACCATACAGCTGCAGAATTGCTGAGTGTGTCGTAAACAATATGCAACAACAACTAATATTGACATTTGAACCTTCTAAGTGTTGCATGTATTTTTAAGTGTGTAAAGAGATTTCTAAACTTGAAATTATTAGGCTGACTGTCTGAGTATGGTTTTACGCCGTTTTTAGCAATTGAAATTATTAGGAAGGAACATGAAACTCCAATTCATGTTAATATAATAAATTTATAAAAATAGAGTAACTGAAGTTTTGGCCTTGTCGAGATGTGTTAATCTCTGATAACAAACAGGGACTTTTGTGGTTAGTTGGAATTTATCGCATTGATAGCAGTGCTGTGAAAACATTGTTAAAGTTACAACATTGTACAAGAATCAGAATAAGAAGTACAGATATTTGTATGATTTATCTGGAATACCATATACATCTCTGTATGATGGAGAAACACTGACCATGAAAAGGATATATCCTTGGCTGGGCTCTCAGTCAGTGTTTTGGGCATCTGTTTATGATTTGGTATCAGTTGAGTTACAGGAAAACATGGTTTATTACCTTTGATGATTATTTATACACATGTTATTGGTATGTATAGTCGTGTGGTTGTTGTGTTTGTCTTTGAGTGATCTGTACAGTATACATTAGTGCTTACTGAGGCGTTATACACTCATGTATTACAACTTACTGAATCAGGTATTACTGCTGATATCACTCATCTTGTGATTCATTTGTTTACATGTGTTTATCTTGTTTAAACATGTTAGGAGATATTAACCTATATATTCCTGTGTAATAACATAGACATTCTGCATGTAGTTTTTAGGTTTAGATGATTTGATAGTCAAATCTTTGATCGACAAGCATATGTGAGGAATCTTGATAACGATATCTAAACATCAAACGTAGAGTCCCCAGTGTCACATTTAAACTAACCCCTCGTGGGCCTCGTTTACTGCAACCTTTGATGCGAGTTGCTCATCCAGTGATCAAGGTGGAAATATTCCTGCAACAAGTTCTACTGGTAGCCAGCCTGGCAGGTGCTTGTTTGGGTGTCAGATGTTTGTGTCGGAGACTGGCGACTCCCTGGAGATGGTGGGTATAAATATCACCCATCCAGGGGGATCTGAGTCACACCAGTCAGACTCCCACTTTCCAATCTCTCTCGACAAAACTTCGCCATCGGACAAGTCCTGTTTCTGCAGTAACACCAGTGAAAGTGTATTTCAAGCCGAATAGCTGTACTAGCAAGGCTTACTTTCAGAAAAGGTGGTTGCTATAATAATTTCAATTCAGTCATCTCTGACATTTTTGTGTGAGGTTTTCATCAATGTCTCTGATTCGCCACGTGCCGATATCCTGGGATGTGCCCAGCTCCTGGAACAGACATGGCTGGAACATGGACCATTTTAATCCAGAACGCCAGCTTAGCATGCTGGATCGGGAAATGAGAGATATGAGTATGCGATCAGGATTCCGTGACATGAACATGAGCTCTGACAATCGAATCTCCAACCTCCGGTCTGATTTTGACCATTGGACGCCATATGCGAGGTCATCGTCATCAATGGTACCCAGCATGCCGATGATGACCATGCCATCTTTTGATGGCGATTTCCAGTATTCCTTGCGACATATGGATAGAGAGAGATGAAGAGAATGACAGAAGAAATGAACAGGATGTTTTCACATTGTCAGCACCTTGTTCCAGTCGACTCCCAGCCCGAGACCTGGAGAACTCGGGAGAATTTCCTAATGGAGAACCCAATTGTGCATGATCAGTTTGGAGGCAAGAAATTTCAACTTCAGTTCGATGTCCGCCAGTTTAAACCTGAAGAGATTATGGTGAAGACTGCCGAGAAACAGCTCTCGGTGCATGCTCGCCACGAGGAAAAGGGAAATGATAAGTCTGTGTTTCGTGAATACCACCGTCAGTTCACGCTTCCAACCAACATGAACCCAGAGTCTCTTGTGTCCAAACTGAACAGAGATGGACTCTTGACAATTGAGGCACCCCTACCGGCTTTGGAAGAATCGCCTAAACTCATTCCCATCGAGCACAATTAATCATGATGTGTTGACAGGACTTGTTATTGAACTGGACCAAAATGCTGTATCGTTTTTGAACAGTATATCTCATTTACTTATGTATTGTGAAATATTGGGATCTGGACTGACGAAATCCATTCAGGTAGAGGATTGTAGTATCTGTGAGTTTTCTAGTCATTTCTTATACCATGTCATGTAGTAATATTTATTTAGTGATTTGTAATATTTTGTGTACATATTCCAGCTAAATGCATTTACCTGTTGAACATTATAACATTCTGAAACTGATTATGGTGCTATTTGGGTCGAGTTCGTTGACAGACAGTACAGCTGTGTTGTGTTTGAGGGGTGTATACCATATTCAACCTAATTAGTGCCCATGCATAGGTACATCTATTAGTATTACCTGAACCTCCCTTTCTTTGTATATTGGGCGGTGGGGTAGGTTAATGGTGGTTAATAGGTTAGTGGTTAAAGTGTTTGCTCGTCATACCGAAGACCCGGGTTCGATTCCCCACATGGGTACAATGTGTGAAGCCCGTTTCTGGTGATACTCACTCACTCACTCTTTCACAGTCTTTGTATCTTATATAAATGGACACTCATTAGGTTGAAGTTAAACATATTTGACTTAGTGAGCATGGAAATAGTAATAGTCACATCGGCAGTATTTCAGCCACATTGTGACCAGATGCTATTTAAACTATGTATTAAATTAAATATGTTAATATATTTTTCAGAGATATTGCCACCTCATATTGTATATATATATATCTATATCTCGCATACAGGTTACGTCTATATATAGATATATGTAGATAGATAAGTATATACCACTCAAAAGTGAAAGACCAGATTTACCAGGACTATGGTTTATGTGTCATGAGAAATTATCAGTATATATGTAGCATTATTTTTTGATAATTTGGTATTAGTTTGAGTTGGTATACTTGTATATATGCTATATTTTATTCGCCTATTTGGTCCTGCAGAATACTCAACATGTAAATATTGTGGTCAATATCGGATGGGCGTGGTGGGTATGATGATTGTCAGTGAAAATACTGCTGAGTTGCTTGTATATTTGTATTTTTGTTTTATATTTAATAAAATATTCCATTAACTAATTTTGTCTTTTTTTGTCCTGGAAGTCCTTGGTTATTCAGTGACCACAGATGTGGATTGTGGTACTACACTAGTGGTTAAACTGATCACTCAGCCCGGTCTTAACCTGGGTTGAGTTGCTCATGTGGGTACAACTGAAATAGTCAGCCTGATGCAGTTATGTGTCACTCACTCACTCACTCACTCACTCACTCACTCACCCACCCATCCACTCACTCACTCACTCACTCACTCACTCAAATATGTTAACATTTGAAAAGTACATATAACTGCTTTTAAGACTATGCCTGGTTTCATTTTATATAGTCAACTCCAGACCTGGTTGCTACCTCATCATGTTCTATTGGACAAGGGAACCAAAGTTCTCAAACATTCGCCTTCAGAAATCTTTGGTTCAGGGGAATTTCTCTGATGAATTAATGTGATTTTTGTAAACACAGGAAGGGGATGGAGCTCTCTCCGTCTGAGGGGTGACTCAACCAGGCTTCCGACTTCCAAGACGCTATTTGTGGAAGGAATGCCCAGATTATAGTGAAGTGGTCTAAACTTACATTGTATTATTTTTAGCGTTCACATGATTCATGTCAGAGAATGTTCAGGTGATCTGTATAGAGTAGGAGAGGTAATTAGTGGGTGTAGGTTATTGTTATGAGGACATTTTGTAGTTGTTAGCATTTGACGGCTTGGGTGATTGGCTGGGTGTTGATAATTGATGGTGGTGTTCAATTGATATGTGGTATATGGTGGGTGTAAGTTATTGTGGGTGTAGGTTATTTGTGGATGTAGGTTATTTGTGGGTGCAAATTATTATTGGTGGGTTTGGGTTATTAGTGGGTTATTGGTTGGTGTGGGTATTGGGTTATTATTGGTGCTATTGGTGGGTGTGGGTTGTTGGTGGGTGTGGGTTATTGGTGGTGTGGGTTATTGTGGGTTATTGGTGGGTGTGGGTTATTGGTGGGTGTGGGTTATTGGTGGGTGGGTTATTGGTGTTATTGGTGTGGGTTATTGGTGGGTGTGGAGTTGTTGGGTGGGTTGTTGGTGGGTGTGGGTTGTTGGTGGGTGGTTATTGGTGGGTGTGGGTTATTGGTGGGTGTGGGTTATTGGTGGGTGTGGGTTATTGGTGGGTGTAGGTTATTGGTGGGTGTGGGTTATTGGTGGGTGTGAGTTGTTGGTGGGTGGGTATGTGGTTGTTGGTGGCAGGTGTAGGTGTGGGTGTGGGTTGTTGGTGGGTGTGGGTTATTGGTGGGTGTGGGTTATTGGTGGGTGTGGGTTAATGGTGGGTGTGGGTTATTGGTGGATGTAGGTTATTTGGTGGGTGTAGGTTATTGGTGGGTGTAGGTTAATGTGGGTGTAGGTTGTTGGTGGATGTACGTTGTTGATGGGTTTGGGTCATCATGTGTGGGTGAAGGTTATTGTGGTTGTGGGTTTTTCAACTATGTAAGTGGTGGATGTAGGTAATTCATGGAGTGTATATGCATTGCAGGGTGCTGTTAAAAAGCATTGCAATATATATTCCTTTGCCTACTTTTAAGAAATATATGATTTTAAACAAATGCTCATGTCATATATTGTCTGGTCTGTCTAGCCAATCTCTGTGTTCTTACAGTCTCTGTTGACCTCAACCTGTACAGATGTAATTAATGAAAACGTCTCTCCCATCACAACCTCCTTGAAGATGATGGACTGTGAAACCTTGCTTTGATCTTCGTGAGGCCTGTGGAAGGGCTGTCTCTGAACACCTGGGCATGAGTGGTTTAACGAGAATTGCTACCTTGCATTTCATCTCCAGGGTAAATCCACTCACTCTTACTGCTGATTTTACGACACCCATCCAGTATAAATTTTAAAAGTATATATTCTGCTGTTTCAGCTTATTGCTTTTATTTATTTCCTTTAATTAGATGACGTCACACTTGCCATACCTGAGTTTCGAGTTGTTCCTGTAAGGTGGATCTGATGTTGTCATGGTCACCAGTGGGTCTACAGGGAAAGAAACCTTTCAAAATTTCCCACTAGACCACAGGACCAATGAGTGGACAATAATTAGTGGTCCTGTCTGTATTTCACTGGTCCAAAATAACATTAGTAGATTTATTAACTATCAATACAAAATTCACTAGCCACCAGGACCACTGCAAACTTATCATTTAGTCGTTCTGATGAATTTTTACTAGTCAAGGACCACAGGACCAGCGTAAATTTCGCACACTGGTTTATGGTCATGTCTATGACCATGTCTATGGTCAAGTATTCAAACATACTTTTGTAAAGTTTACTTGTCCTATCATGTTAATAATGGAGGCAGTGATACAATCAGTACATTATGATTCGATTAATACAATTCAGTACAATTTTGTATGCAACTGATACAGCTTGCATAGTGATACCATCAATAATTTTTGAATGCTATTGGGATTCTGGAGCAGAATAGCAGTGTATGAAATAAGCCATAAACCCAGCCACACATCAGGGCTGGTAACTTCAAAATGTTACCTGCCCAAAATGGATTTAACCAGACCAGACAATCCAAAGAAAATAGTTAAATTTTTAGTTAATGTTTAGTTGCAGTTTTAGTGATAATGTATGTCAACGCAGTGCTTTGAGCTTCAAATGTTTAAACAGTAATTGTCAAGTCAAAATGTAATGCTCAGTTTGAAAAATAGATTTTTTACTCAGATGTATGGAACATGTTATCTAACAATTTTACCAGACCATCGGGCTGACTAGATATAAATTTAGACTGTCCGGCAGAAATCTGGCCCATATCGGGCGGGCGGAGGGGCCTTATTTTCATACACTGAGAATAGCTTCCCACCCATGGTCTTTGTTGAAAGCTGATTTTATAACTAGAATTTCCAGACTTAGGTTTTTCTAGCCTGTTGTGATTAAACTATTAATACTGAATGGAATTTATACATTTTGAAGCTGTAATCAAGTATCATTCTTCTGTATCTAATAAAACATAAGTCCACAGAATACCAAGGTTATTTTTGTCTGCGTAACAGTGAACCCATAGATTTTGTTTTTGAGTGAGTGAGTTTAGTTTAAGCCACCTTTAGCAATATTCCAGCAATATCACATCAGGGGACACCAGAAATGGGCTTCAAACATTATATCCATGTGGGGAATCAAACCCGGGTCTTCGTTGTGACAAGCCAACACTTTAACCACTAGGCTACCCCCAAACAGAACAGAACCAGGTGTAGAATATCATTCATCTTGGTGGTAACATAGTTACTGCCATCATATTTAATGGCTGCAGTGAGTGAGTGAGTAAGTATGGTTTTATGCTGCTTTTAGCAACATTCCAGCAATATCATGGCAGGAGACACCAGAAATTGGCTAATGGCTGCAGTGACCTTATCATGGTTATGGAGTCTCCTTGTGGATGTGTGATACTGTTGATGGCTGCATGGTGTCTATAAATAGCAAACTAAAAGTTTATAGAACTAATTAACAGCATGCTTGACATAAACTAGACATCCAGGGGATGTTTTATTGCGAGAGAGCTGTGCAGGGATTGTATTACAGTGATATCAAACAGCATTAACAATCTGGTGTAACTCCTGGAGGAACATTCTCAGTTAATGCAGTGCATTGCTGTGACTCCTCTATTGAGCTGGAGTTCAGGAGGAGACCTCACATGCCACAGCTTTGGGTTACATACTTTTGGGGCACTCAGGGCATTGCAACAGCTCAGACTGTGTTCATAAATTATATGAGTGAGTGAGTATGGTTTTATGCCGCTTTTAGCAATATTCCAGCAATATCACGGTGGGGCTCATAAAAAATGGCCTTCATATATTGTACCCATGTGGGGAATCGAGCCCAGGTCTTCATCATGACGAGCGAATGCTTTAATCACTTTGCTACCCCACCGACCAAATTTCATAAATAAAGTCACAATGACATTCAGATTTCATTGATGAGCTTCAGCATCTATATTAAATGGGTGTCAACTTAAACTCAGATGCATGCACAGAGATGCCAACCCATATGATTTTATCATATTCGTTTAGAAAAAACAACACAAAATACGAAACTATGATAGCAGTAAAAATATATGACTTTTTCAAACAATACATTAAATTAAATTATCAAATAGCATACGTATCATTTCAACCACATTATTATGTATGGATGCTCACTACTGATTTAGGTGAGTGCAATGTTGATAAGAATTTCTTATAATATTTATTGTTTATTCAATATGAAACTTCTTTGGAAAAGTTAATACAAATTTTGTCAAAAAAATGCTAATTCTTTACATAAGTCTTTGGCCAAAATACTAATTGGGCTAAATTAGGGTTGGCATCTCTGTCTTACCATTGATCTTTTGTTGTTCTCAATGTACAAGGTTTAATCCTTGAACACATCCTTCTGTGCGAAATTAAAGCTTCACTCTTTGAGTAGTGTCATATTATCTTTCTCAGAATCCATCATGATTTTAAGTATTTAGTTGACTACAAATTTTACGGTCTAACTACTTATTTTCATCCTTCAAACTACTATTTGAAACAGTTTGGGGTTGGCATCTCCACATGCATACGTATGTGTGTGTTTATCAGTTTGTCTTCTGGCGGTGGGGTAGTCTAGTTACCAAAGTGTAGACTCCTCCCTCTAAAGGTCTGGGTTCGATTTTCCACATGGGTAGAGTTTGTTGAGCCCATTTCTAGTATTCCCTGCAATGAAATTGCTGGATTATTGCTACAAGCAGTATCATTTACCTTTTCCAGTTTCCATCATTAAAACACTTTTCCAAAATCCAAATGAAGCAATTCCTTGTAATGGTAGGTTTGTACATATCAAAACTGATTCCAGCACCACTAAATGATGTTTTCGTTATGTGAAAGTTTTCAGAAATAATGGAATACGTAGGGATGGTGATATACTTGCTTGATGCTTATAGAACAGGGAGGCCATGTAACATCCAATGCACACACACTCACTCACTCACTTACTCACTCTTCGGTAACCCACGCTTGTCATAAGAGGCGACTAAGGGGATTGGGTGATCAGGCTCGCTGACTTGGTTGTCACATGTCATCGGTTCCCAATTGCGTAGATCAATGCTCATGCTGTTGATCACTGGATTGTGGCGTAAAACTAAACTCACTCACTCACTTACTCAGCAGTTTGTGTTTCTGTCCATTCGGATGTCCATATGTATTCATGTATCTCACCATTTGTACATCTCTGCGTGTGTGTTTGTGTGGGGCGGTGGGGTAGTCTAGTGGTTAAAGCGTTGGCTCGTCACGCCGAAGACCCGGGTTCGAATCCCCACATGGGTACAATGAGTGAAGCCCATGTCTGGTGTCCCCCGCCGTGATGTTGCTGGAATATTGCTAAAAGCAGCGTAAGCTAAACTCAGTCAGTCAGTCAGTGTGTTTGTGTAGCTGTTTTCAGCTATATGAAGGCAACCTGTAGTTATTAAAGAGTGAAGCGCATGCACGCACGCGACGCACGCACGCACACGCACACGCACACACCTGGATCCGCCTATAAAGATGTTAATTTAAGTTTCCTGTTGCAGGTGGATGTGTGATGTCACAAGATGGGGGAGAGTCCCTTGGATGTACCCGATGACCCCGGACAAGGAGCAGACGACTGTCGTCTCTGGATTGGCAACCTGGACTCGAGATTGACAGAGTAAGGCCACAGATAAGGGAATTACTTGATTTAATCATAGCATGGGTCTGTATGTGTCTTCCGGTGGTGTGCTGGTATATACTAGGTTGCCCTGACATGGCGTGGTTATCTCCCTTGCTAAATGTATTGTTTGTGAAATCCACACTTTGTGTCATACATCAGCCTGTAAGGTAGCCAAGTGGTTAAAGCGTTCGCTCATCACACCAATGTTCTGGGTTTGATTCCCTACATGGCTACAACAGGTGAAGCCAATAGCTGGTTGACACTGAAATGCATAAAACTCACACATGGTTTCTGTGAAGTTGGAAAATATTGTTATCAGACATATTTTTCAAGAGCAGAGTCTAAGTTAGGTCATTCAAAATTATTGTGCGGTTGTTTTTTTCTGTTCACTATGTGCAATTTCCAAACTTAACCCTGAGCTTAACTAATGTTTTATAATTTGATTACCAAAGGGGTAGTTTGATTACATATTGGGGCGGTGGGGTAGCTTAGTGGTTACAGCGTTTGCTTGTCACGCAGAAGACCCGGGTTCGATTCCCCATATGGGTACAATGTATGGAGCCCATCTCTGGTGTCCCCCGTCGTGATATTGCTGGAATATTGCTAAAAGCGGCTTAAAACTAAACTCAGTGATCATAACATATGGTAATTCCGAGGACAAGGTACACACTTTGTGCTTGTGGAAGCATGTGAAGTGTTATAAAATCTCTCTAGTGTCTCTCCTATTATCTCCCATGGTTCAACAGTCACCAGGCATGATGTAAGGTGATTCTGTATGTTGGCTGGTTAGGTGTTCACATGTGAATGGTGGGGTGTAACAGCAACGTGCAGACACAGATTTCAGAACAAACTATGGGATGGGGGATGTACTCAAAATATTAAGATATGATTAGAGATAATTTGGGGAAAATAATTTGCATTTGGTAAACAAAATATAGTGAATTTGTTGTTACTTCTCTCATGAAATCATTTAGTGATATCTTCTTATCTAATTGACTGGTGGCGCGTGGTCCTGTGCACAGAGCTCAGGTCACAAATCAGTTGAAGTTAAGCAACGTTGAGCTCGGGCAATCTTGGATGGGTGACCGTGTTTGGCAGCTTGACTCCTGAGAGTTTCTAGCACTTCAGTCCTGCCCCACAATGAAGCACATGTGATACATGTGGTCTCACCTTAGGCAAGTGAGTTTGTTCAAATTGCCTCTGTTCACCCAGCAGAAAATGGGTACCCGGTTGGATAAAGTCATGTGACTATAACCTTCTAGCGCCTAACAGGCAGCTTGGGTTATCCGGGGTAATAAGAATCAGATTCTGATTAAGCGCCGCGAGCAATCACTTGGTGTTTGGAAACGTGCGCTATAGAAGATGACTTATTATTATTATTACTAATATGTTTCAAAAAGGGAGGATTGGTACCCCCTGCACCAATCCTGAATCTTTGTATAAGATGACCAGCCAGAATTCTCGTGTGACCACTGATCTCCATTATTTGTGTTGTTAAAGGTTCACCCTGCTAAAGGTCGTCCAGCGTTATGGTGACCTACAAAAGTTTGACTTCCTGTATAACAAGGCTGGACCGGAGATTGGAAAGCCACGTGGCTACTGCTTCGTCAGTTATCACAACAGACAGGTAACGGTGGACAGAATCATTGTTCTCATTGCTCAACTCTGACATCCTTCCAGTGGAGTTGTACTGCAGGAAACACAGGAGAATCATCCTTTTATCCAATTATGGCAAACCATTTATTTATCAGAAGCCAAAGTGAGGATTTTCACCAGAATCTTATTTTCAAAGCATAGAATTGATAATATACAAGCCTGATCTGTTTGATTGGCATTTTAGAAGTTGGTGAGTAATAAGAAAGTAAGATTCTTTATGGATAACAACTTGTTTCTATACTTGGTATGTGCCAAGGTCATGTCAAATATAAGGATCATTACTTGTATGAGTGGAATTTTAAAAGTTAGGACGTACAATATTGAACAAACCTTATGGATAACAACTTCTTTATTTCGTCATTCCTGCTTGACAACGGTACAAGAATCTGTATCGAAATGTCGCACTCACAAAATACAGAAGTTGTTATCCATAAATTTGTTCAGTAACGTTCATTCATGCTTTGAAAAACTCTTAGCAGTTCTTGGGCTTAAAACCTTAGAATTTCTTTTCTGTTTCTGGCCTAAGCCAAGCTTAATATGTTTCAGAATGCCGAGAAGGCCTTAAAAGCGCTGAATGGCAAACTGGCATTATCAAAAAAATTGATAGTTCGCTGGGCACATCAGGAAAAACAGGTTTGTTTACATCAGTTTCACAAAGCAGTTTCACATCTTTCCGTTGTAGCTTTAGATGGAAGTTTCACATGGAAGTTTCTCGATCATTCAGATGTTGAATTAAGGAAAAAGGGAAGGGACTTGCTACAACTAGTTTTAATAGACTCGCTCATGCTTTTACTCTCAGAAGGCGTTTGTGTGAATCATGTGTACATGGGGGCAGTGGAGTATCCTAGTGGTTAAAGCGTTTACTTGTTACCCCACATGGGTACAATGTGTGAAACCCATGTTGGTGTCTCCCGCTGTGAAGTATTGCTAAATCGGTGTAAAAGTAAACTCACTCACTCATGTGTAAATGGCCTATGACCTGCGTAACTCTGGGGTTTTTGTCCACATTGACGTCCCTCCCACAGCATACTAAAAGATGTTCATAGATGGTACTTGTTGTCACTCTGCCTGTCGCTTGGCATTTAAAGGATTGTATACTGTGTCTAAGCTTGGTAGCCATGTTAAACTCTGTGTGGGCTTAGTAGGCATTTGGCCTGACTACAACACACTCGGGTACGAAAGTCCCAAAACATTCAGTCAATTTAAGTGTACCAGGTTTTTAATCGTGAGTATTTTTGGATTTTATTGTATGGCAAAATAATCACATTGTAACGCCAATGGCTGAATGGATGGTGTAAATCCAGCTATGGTCCATGTTACAGGACATTGTAAGTCCCCATGGTCTCTGTATGGTGATCTACCTTCAGTTGTTTATTACTGGCCCATTTTACATTGTATTGTCCAAAAATAGTTTTCTATAAAGTTATATGCTAGGTAGTTTTAACTCATTGATAATCTAGTGGTTTTACTGCGTTGACAGGGTTTTAAATCTCTATGTATTATAAATTTACTAGTTTCCACATGCATTTCATATGGCTGAAATATAGTCAGGCATTTGGCCTCACTACAACACACTCACATGCACACATGTATACACACACGGGAAACTCCATTTCTCCTCCTATGTTAGGCTGACATGTAATTTATGGCTGAAATATTGATGAAGTGGTTTGTCTGTCTGCAACATGTCCATGATCAAACACCTAATTCTCACTATATTTGATGTGTTACTCTTCCAGAAAACCGACATAAATGCAAAGCTACCTGAGAAGAATGTTCCACCTGACAGGTATGTCTGCTGAAAAGAGAACTCATTAAAATCAAGTGTTTTATTCTGATACAATATGCCTCGTGTAAATATCTGAAATTCTGCCTTTGCAGGTCAGGTGACTTTTCTAACATCCAATCAGCATCCAAGTTCTTGGTATAAGCTACCCATTTAGAGAGCATATGATTTCTGTCTTGTAAATGAACATGATGGAATGCAATGCAAGACTTTCATAGATTTTTGTGGATATTTTGTACACCCCATCATTTCTGGAGTCAACCATTGGAAAGTCAAAAACAAAATATATTGAGGGCAATGGGTTATTTCCATCAACCAAAAACAAAATATTTGAATATTTGAGTGGAAGGAACTATCCATTCCGTTGGTTTCACATTAATTTTGACTTGCTGTGTGCATGGGCAGAGCGTGTAAAAATATCCCCTGGCCAAGTCCCGGTGTAACAGGCCAAACTTTCCCCCTGGCCAAACCTTCCCTGGGGAAACTTTGGCGTAGGACAAGCTTTCCCTGGGGAAACTTTAGCCTAGGCCAAAAACTTTTTCGCTTGTTCTTATATCAAAGAGGGAGATTCTGGCCAAACTAGGCTATTTCTTCCCCAACCTTGTTTTCATGTTAATGTTCATCTTGAAAAAGTCAGAAACAAAAACAAGACATAGCTATTCACGTGAACACATTGATAAGATATTCATGTTGATGTCAAGTTCCATTTACAATTTACAGGTCATCTTCATCTTCAAATATAACATGTACATGGTTCCCATTTTGTTTCAATACCCTTCTATAAGGTGAGATTAAAAAGAAAAGCAAGCATAAAAGCAAAGTTATTATATCATTACTATCGTTTTGTATTAAAATTTGCTTATATTTATGTTTCAATAATTTACTTATCCCCAATTACTCCAAATTGGCTTATCTCAAAATCATTACTATATTCAAAACTTTAACTAAATACCCAGTTTTTACTTGGATGTCCATATCCATTCAAAATTTGATTCCCTCACTCATGGCTTTAAATATGGCATCCATGTCAGGGAAACATCAACGTAACAGTTGGAAGCAGATGTAAACATCAACTCAACAAGAACCCAACACAATATCTGTATCAAATGCTGTATCATCTATCATTCCACTATATTGCCTTATTCTACATTCAAAAGACAAGGTTTGATAAGGGGTATACTTGGCCCATGGCTATCTGAATCATATTTCATTCACCAAAAGTGATTATGGATTAGTAAACAAGCTTATGTGAATAATGTTCCATTACATTTATACATAAATACAACAAATATAAGATAATAAACAGCATGATAAGAGAGCAAGCAACCTGTGTATATTACATCTTATTTACCCTTCAAATGTGCGATTGAATGTTTACATCTTATGGTGACATGATTTGGACAGATGAAGAACTAATGCAATGTGTCTTCATAGGAAGGGCGGCAGGAGCAGGATGGATTTATAGATATATGCCATTCAAACATGTATGCATTCAAATCACTACACCCAAGTCAGAGGCAAAAATGGACTATTTGGCAAAAATGTGTAAACATATGACCAAACCGGAACTTGGCCAGTGGATAGTTTTACATGTTCTGCGTATGCGCACAGTGAGTCGAAAATTAATGTGAAACCACCGAATATTGAGGCGGTTAGAAAAAAGAATATAACTGGGCTGAAATCTGATTGGCAGAAGAACCCAGTGATCCTTTTAGACTTTATGGTGAGAGTTCAGTCGAGATTCACCTGGAGCATCTTCCTGTGAAGGGTTTGTTTGACCTTAATGTGGAGAAGGAACTACTCTGATTTGTGTAACTTACGAACAGCAGGAAAAGTATATAACCAAGAGATGGCAAATAACATTGTTGCAGTTTTCTACTGCAAAACCAGAGAACAACAAAGTAAGAAACTGTAGAATGCTATGCCGTGAGACCAGTAAACTGCAAAGTATGAAATTTATAAAAATATAATTTCAAAATTTGACCATCAGTTTGGATGGGTTAATTGAAGTGTGAATGATTTGAAAGCACTGGTTGATCCCTGCCAAACTGATGTTCAGTTCTTAAGTGATCACTGCCATGTTGTCATGGTTAAATGAATGATGATACCAAACTGGCTGTCACAGGAGATATCACTTACTTAAGATTGACTGAACTGAACTTGGTGTTTCTCTGTCCAATGACATCACACCTTGATTTGATCAATAATGTTAATTGTAAGTCCTCAGTATTTATGTAGATAATATTTCAATACAAATGCTGACAAAAATAGCTTTAAGTGCCTCACTTAGTTCATTAAGCTGTTGATTGCAAGTCCACATTTGGCCAACTTGTCTGTGCAGAGTTGTGGCCCTTAGTCATGCAGGGATCCACTCAGTTGCTGTTTGAATTGAAAATGTAACTTTTGTTTTGGTCCTTGGTTTGCAAGCACTATTCCAGTACTCATGATGCTAAATGGCGACATGAATTACCTTGGGATTTTTGCGGTCAGTCATGTTTAAAGATAGATTTCTGTGTTTGCAGTGTTGATGTGAAGATACATGCCATCGAAGCCAAGCTAGAAGAAATGTCAAAAACACAAAAGGACTTTACAATATCGAACAAAGTGGAAGCAGCCCCCGGGAGCAGTAAACTGAGCATTGCAAACCCGGAAAACATTCGTAATCAGCCTGTGTTGAAACCCAAACCCTACTACAGAAAACACAGGAGATGACTGTGTGATAGCCCAATCAGATTCGGTGTTTGTGAGGCAGCAGTAAACAATATAAATGTTATTGCTGTTGTGGTGCGATACGAAGACTTTTGTCAGTTGTAGAAGGATATCAGAGGAGTTTGCAGGAGAGTCCTGATTGTGTTTGGAGAAAATTCTGGCTTGTGACTGGAGGAGAGTGCTGTATTTGGATACTCCTGTTTTTCAAATGGAGGAGATTCCTGTTTGCCATTGGAGATTCCTGTCTGTGGTCGTAGAAGTCTGGTTTATGACTGGAGGAGAGTGCTGTATTGGTTGAGTTATACTCCTGTTTGCCGATGGAGATTCCGGTTTGCCAATGCAAGAGATTCCTGTTTGCCATTGGAGGAGATTCCTGTTTGATGTCAGAGAAGTCTGGTTTATGACTGGAGGAGAGTGCTGTATTGGTTGAGTTATACTCCTGTTTACCGATGGAGATTGCCGGTTTGCCGATGCAAGAGATTCCTGTTTGCCATTGGAGGAGATTCCTGTTTGATGTCGGAGAAGTCTGGTTTATGACTGGAGGAGAATGCCCTGTTTGGTCAAAGGATATTCTACTTTGCCTATTGAGGAGACCCCTGTTTGTCGAAGAGTAAATACTTTGTGGATGAAATAGGTCAGGGCAGATTCGAGTGATTAAAGAAATGTGATGTGAGTTTTAATAATAAATGTGAAAAGAAGTTTATTTGTTGGTTATTGATACACTTTTACTAGTACATGCTCTTCTGTTTAACTTAGAAATGTTTGTTAGGCATCAATGCTTATTGTTAAATCCTGTGATAGTTATTGGCAAAAATATTTCAAATTTCTTTTGTCAAAATATGCAGACAGTGTCTTCCATGAGTGAGTAAGTGAGTATGGCAATATTTCAGCAATATCACAGCAGGGGACACCAGAAATGGGCTTCACACATTCAGAGGTACAGATAAGCTGCATATCTGTGTACATTACGCAAATATGTATGTGAAAACTCAATTCCTTGTAAGACCATTGCGTACCAATGTTCGTACCATTGCGTCTTTAGTCTTTATTCATGTGAATGTAGACCATCGGCCCATGGCATTGGTTATACATTGGCAGCCTTCAAGCTGCAGCGACAACAATTGTTAGCATAGAAGATAAACAAGGCAAGATTTCGTAAAACCAGAGGAGTAGCATTACTCATCAGTCGATTAAATTTACACAAGGTTGGATGGGTGAAAACATCGACAGGGATAAAACGTTTACGTAAATACTCAATAAATTTCATCTAACATGCGTAGACACAAAAATGTAGCTTGCGTACTGGTGGATAGCTAAAATAACTGAGGTGTATTGAGAGGTTCTATTTCAGCACAAGAACTTGGCAACTTGCAGTCTATCTTATACTAGTTTCTCATATTACAGATCAAATATAAATAACAAACACATACACCAACATTTAAACTTTATTATATGTTTAAAATTAATGGAAAATGGCAAAATACCCAATTAAGTTTGAGTGAGGTGGGTACAATTTTTTGGGTTACTCAAAGGAAACTTGGGATACCCAATTGAGATGAACACAAGCGAGTACATAACTCAATGACCCAAAAATTTATAAGGTTAGAATTGATCTTCAGCAAACCATGCTTGTCGTAAAAGGCGACAAATGGGATCAGGTTGTGAGGGTTGCTGACTTGGTTGACACATGTCAACATATCCCAACTCTGTAGAACGATGCATCTGATGTCAATCACTGTATTGTCTGGTCCAGAATCAAATTTGTACAGGCTGTCGTCATGAGGGGTTGGTATTGCAGAGAATTTTCATATTGCGATACATTGCGATGCGAAAGCATATATTGCGATATGTATTGCAATATATTGCATGAATTATTTTTAAACAAAAAAATACTTATAATCAAGTTAATGCTTGATTTATAGAGCAAAAAAACAACAAAATCACTATGCTGGATTATGCTTTAATAACTTTTAATCATGATAAAATAAAAATGTAAATTATATTTGGCACAAATGAAACAAGGAAATATCCAAACATTTGCGAGTGTTATGAAGTTTTCCGAATGCAAGTCAACTACCGGTTTTCGATCAGCGTATCGCAATACGTATCGTTTTCATGTCTGAACTGGTAAACCGGTTATATTGTCTAGCCCTAGTCGTCATATAGCTGGAATTAGCTGAGTTCTTCGTTAAGCAACAAAAAACATTTTGGCAAGCCTACACTAACACGTGATGTTCCATGATTAGTCTGGTGTGGTGATCAAATCCATTTAATTTTATTCCTCAGATGTTATTTTTGTTTTGCCTGACTTTTCACAAACACAGATACACTGAATATGTGGAAGAGACAACACTTAACTCTGTAACTTCCTCTCAACCCAATTTCTCAATATAGAGAAGTTTCTTTCGTCTTGCCGGACTTTTCACAAGCACACTACACTGAATACCAGGAAGCACTTGATAGTATACCCTCACATCACTAAATTCTGTAACTACATCTGAATCCAATTTGTCAATATACAGAGAGAACCTCTCTACTCAAGGCATCCTCGATAATCTCCAGGGTATACGTTCCGATAAATCTCCACTAGTACCCTGGATGCATCTACCTGGCTCTTTATCCACCTGAAGTTATACCCAGGAGATTACTTAGCATGTAGTCAAGGATGGGTGTCAGAATCGCGCACCACTCTTAAGACAACTATGTCTTACGCTGCTTTTAGCAACATTCCAGCAATATAACAGTGCACCAGAAATGGGCTTCACACATTGTACCCATGTGGGGAATTGGACTAGGCTACCCCACCGCCCCCACTTGGAACAACTAACAAACTAGTATTGACGATAATGTTGGCTCCTCCAACCACCAGGAGACTCTAAAGTAGACCTAATCGGGCCATTCCAGTCAAGCAGCACATCCTTTTGCTGCGTACTAACATCAAGACTGACCATTTGTTCCAGATATCTATTTACTTTCTGGTGCAGAGGTTACAAAATGTAACGTCATACTTCTATCATATCCACTTATAAATATTATTATTCAGAAGACAAATGAATCAATAAGATTTTGGTCATCAGATGATTTACATCCAGATTTGAACCCAATGTGCGTGGTCTGAACCCAGGCATCAGACAGTCCACATCCTGACTGGACCCAGTCCCTGAGGTTTGAACCCAGTCATCAGACAATCCACATCCTGACTGGACCCAGTCCCTGAGGTTTGAATCCAGCCATCAGACAATCCACACCCAGACTGGACCCAGTCCATGTAGTTTGAATCCAGCCATCATACAATCCACACCCTGACTGGACCCAGTCTGTGTAGTTTGAATCCAGTCATCATACAATCCACACCCTGACTGGACCCAGTCCCTGAGGTTTGAACCCAGTCATCAGACAATCCACACCCTGACTGGACCCAGTCCCTGAGGTTTGAACCCAGTCATCAGACAATCCACATCCTGACTGGACCCAGTCCCTGAGGTTTGAACCCAGTCATCAGACAATCCACATCCTGACTGGACCCAGTCCCTGAGGTTTGAACCCAGTCCCTGAGGTTTGAATCCCAGTCATCAGACAATCACACTCCTGACTGGACCCAGTCCCATGGTTTGAACCCAGGCATCAGACAATCCACACCCTGACTGGACCCAGTCCCTGATGGTTTGAACCCAGTCATCAGACATAATCCACACCCAGACTGGACCCAGTCCCTGAGGTTTGAACCCAGGCATCAGACAATCCACACCCAGACTGGACCCAGTCCCTGTGGTTTGAATCCAGTCATCACACAATCCACACCCTGACTGGACCCAGTCCCTGAGGTTTGAACCCAGTCATCAGACAATCCACACCCTGACTGGACCCAGTCCATGTAGTTTGAATCCAGCCATCAGACAATCCACACCCTGACTGGACCCAGTCCATGTAGTTTGAATCCAGCCATCATACAATCCACACCCTGACTGGACCCAGTCCATGTAGTTTTGAATCCAGTCATCATACAATCCACACCCTGACTGGACCCAGTCCATGTAGTTTGAATCCAGCCATCATACAATCCACACCCTGACTGGACCCAGTCCATGTAGGTTTTGAATCCAGTCATCAGACAATCCACACCCTGACTGGACCCAGTCCATGTAGTTTTGAATCCAGTCATCATACAATCCACACCCTGACTGGACCCAGTCCATGTAGTTTGAATCCAGCCATCATACAATCCACACCCTGACTGGACCCAGTCCATGTAGTTTGAATCCAGCCATCATACAATCCACACCCTGACTGGACCCAGTCCATGTAGTTTGAATCCAGCCATCATACAATCCACACCCTGACTGGACCCAGTCCATGTAGTTTGAATCCAGCCATCATACAATCCACACCCTGACTGGACCCAGTCCATGTAGTTTGAATCCAGCCATCATACAATCCACACCCTGACTGGACCCAGTCCATGAATCCAGGTTTGAATCCCAGGCATCAGACAATCCACACCCTGACTGGACCCAGTCCCTGTAGTTTGAATCCAGTCATCATACAATCCACACCCAGACTGGACCCAGTCCCTGTAGTTTGAACCCAGGCATCAGACAATCCACACCCTGACTGGACCCAGTCCCTGTAGTTTGAACCCAGTCATCAGACAATCCACACCCAGACTGGACCCAGTCCCTGAGGTTTGAACCCAGTCATCAGACAATCCACACCCTGACTGGACCCAGTCCCTGAGGTTTGAACCCAGTCATCATACAATCCACTGACCCCATGTAGTTTGAATCCACATGGACCCAGTCCCTGTGGTTTGAACCCAGTCATCAGACAATCCACACCCTGACTGGACCCAGTCCATGAGGTTTGAATCCAGTCATCAGACAATCCACATCCAGATTGGACCCAGTCCATGTAGTTTGAATCCAGTCATCATACAATCCACACCCTGACTGGATGACCCAGTCCCCATGGTTTGAACCCAGTCATCATATAATCCACAGACTGGACCCAGTCCCTGAGGTTTGAACCCAGGCATCAGACAATCCACATCCAGACTGGACCCAGTCCCTGTGGTTTGAATCCAGTCATCAGAATAATCCACACCCTGACTGGACCCAGTCCCTGAGAGGTTTGAACCCAGTCATCAGAC